GGGGGGGGGGGGGGGGGGGGGGGTTGCTACTGGTAGGCACTACTTCTGTTGTTTCTATTTGTTTTGCTTTTTTCCCATACACTGCGTGGCCATTGCTGTGTTGATGTGCCTTGATGTGCTTATATTTACTGAAACTCAAACACAAACTCAAACTGAAGTCATTTTTCTTTTCCTTTACTCTTTAGCTCCTTCCCATTGCCTAAGTGAGCTTGGGGAATCAGGTTGACCCACCCAGTGCCGGCAAGAGGTGCACTTCGTGTAACAGGGAAATAGCGCAACTGCTTGTCTTATCCCAGATGTACATCATCATTGCCTTTCTTACACTGGATCAGGATATAGGTCACGAACAAACACTTTCCACCTTTCCCAATCGTGGGTTAGTCGCTTGATGTCACTTCATGTCTTCCCACTCTTCTGTACATCCCTTTTCATGACTCTTCTCCAGGTTCCACGTGGTTTGCCCCGTGATCTTTTACCCTCTGGATTCCAATTCAACATTTTCCTTTTTCTTTAGCTGCTTGACTTCCGGAGAGTGTGTCCAATCCATGGCCAACGCCTTCTTACCACCAGATTGTACATGCAGATATTTACTTCGCTCAATATCCTCTGTGATGTTTTTTGGTTTTTTTAACTTTCTTCAGAACCAACTGTCCCGCCGTCAGAATGACCTACTTACGTTTAGTAAGGCGTCACGCGTTTTCAAAAGAAGAGTTAGGTTCTGCTCCTACTGCTCAGTCTCTGTCTGTGTCGCCATCCATTTGCCGGTACCCACTCCTCCTGTCTGTCTGTTTGTCTGTCCGCCGTGTTTATCCACGCCTGAATGTCGTCCTGTCTTCCTGCTTATAACTAGTTCACTCGCTCGCTTGTCACTGGTAACAATGCCCAGAACTACTTTTCATTGTGTCGCGTCCTACAGTATTTTCTCCGTCTTTCCCTTGCGTGCCGGCCGCCTACGAGGCGGGCTGTGGGGTCCGTTTCTACACCTGTCTCCTCCCATTTCCGCCTCCGTCTCATAATCATCACAGCCACTTCCTCTTTAGCGTTTCTTTCTTGATGCGTCCCATTGCGTGTGTGTGTGTCTGGTCTCTGCCACCCCACCTCCCCCCTTACCCTTGTTGCTTCTTTATATTGAGAATACACACTACTGATCATTCTGTACTATAGTTTCTTCATCTTGTGTTACTTGGTATGTCTAATCAATCACCCTTACCGATATACCTAAATATTAACGTTGAACCCCGCCCCGCTCACACAAAAAAGAACAAAATAAAACAACAAAACAGATCAAAACAATACAAAGCAAAGCAACCCGCCCCCCATACAACAACAACAACCCTCCCCCCAACCCCCCACCCCCACTCAACAACAACAAAAAACACGGGAGCCGTTCTATGTTTACACTATGACACTAATAGTTGAATACACCGAGCTTTTTCAATATCACGGAGCACGTCCACCAAAGATTTATGTACCATAAAAATAAAACAAAAATAGGCTCTCTTATTCTCACCAAATATCCGATCCGTATTCCTTTTTGTATGGGCAGACCGCAAGTGCAATAGGCCTTGTGAAACAACACTTGACCGCGCGTTTTCGCTAATATGCGCGCACACATTCTCAGTCTGCACAAAAGCTGTCTACAAAGTATGATTATTTTTCAGCCTGAAAATGTCAAAATGGGACGTAAATTCTGTTTAGTTTTAGTTTTGGTAGAGGTTTTACGGCGCTCGCAACTGCATAAGGTCATATGAGCGCCAGAAGATTAGAGGAGTTACAAGAGAGTAAAAAACATAAAAAAGAAGAAGGAGCGATAAGGAAGATAGATTTTTCATAGGAGAGAAGAAGCAAACCACACCAAAGCACCCGCCAACCACACACTCGTAAATTCTTTAAGCCCTATTTATAAAAATCAGAGTATTGATGGGAACCTCATGGACATCTTGCTTCTGTTCTGTGTTCCCTCATTCCTCGTTCTGTTCTGTGTTCCCTCATTCGACGTCTTCTTGCCCGATATAGCCATCGTGGTTTCCTGGAGCTTTGTTTAAGTCAAGCTCCATCTCAAAACTATAATTTAAACCCCCTCTGGTTTACAAGCTTTAGCTACGAGTCAAAATGTCTTATTTATTGAAACAACTTTTGCAGATCAGCAAATAGGACCTTTTGACTCAGTTCTGATAGACCTTTCACACCACCCGTCCCCAAACTCCCTTTCACTCCTGTCACCCCTTAAGGCGATAATGCTATAGTAATGGCGAGGAATTAGCTGATCTATCAAATCGGCTGCCTTCATCTGTTTCCAGAGCCTAGCAGGCAGGGCTAATTGGGTTAATATTCCTGATGCTTGCATCTTTACAAAAACATGTGATAGATCCGCTAACATCATGTAGGCCTATGAATAAAATATAGGAAATAGTATATGATTACAATACAAATTTTAATATGAAATAATATACTACAGAATACACTACATCAGATGTTGTTATAATTTGTGTGTGAATAAATCTGATTATTTATGTCGTCGACACACTGGTAAAACGTAGCAACCGCCAAATCTGGTCCCATATGTGCCTCTAAGTACTGTGCTATCGGAATCTGTGATGTAGTGGTTATGTGCTTTGCTGTCGGCAGACAGAAGACTGCATTTCGATTCCCGTGTGTGTGTCGGGGGGGAGTCGAGTAATATCTCGGTTTTTATGCTGGGACGTTGTATGTCTTTTAGCCTTCAGGGTTGAAGCCTACCTCTTAAATGATTAAAACTGTTTCAATGTTCGCATGAAGACGCAAATGAGAAAAGATATATCATACCGGTTGCAAACGCTAAGAAAAGATCTACTCGAACTAAATATTTTCAAAAGTAATTTTTGTTTAAAAGATCGTAAGCCAACGATCGGTATCATATACGCCGAGGAAAGAAAATAAGCCACGATCAGGTGCAAACAAGGCTTGGGGACTTTTGTTCTCTTGCTCTCTGATGGGTTTGCTGTTGAGCCCTCTGAATAGCGTTTGCCTCCTAGCCCTAACAAAAGCTTTGCTTCCTAACGCTTGAAATACGGGTTTTTGCCCCCCCCCCCATTAGTCCCTTGAATAGTTTTCGCCCCTCTAGCCCACAGAAGGGCTTCAGTCCCTTTAGAGTAGGACTTTCTTCCCTTAGGTTTTACTCCTATCCCTGAAATGTGAAATGAGCTTTTAT